TGAACACAGGACTGGATGAAACAAAACCAGCCTCTGCCTTGGCAGATAGGAGCTGAGTAGATGGCGGGAGGCTTTGCAGTCAATATGTAAGCTAAGGCTAACATTCTCAGAGAATGGTCTAAAGTGCACCATCTAGGAAGAAGCCAGGCCCAGACACGAATGCTCTCTTAGAAAATGTGCTCACAGCCTCTCAGAATCTGAGGCTGAAAGCTCCTTTCCTTGCCCTGAAATCCAAGGACGCCAAGCCATGCTCTGAACAGCAAGGCGTGTTTCTCATGTGATCTAATGCTTTTAAATAATCATTATCAGCCATTGGTGGAAATTATTGACTCTGAGAAGCCTGAGTACATTACTGGGAAATCACTTATGGACTGTCAAAAGCCTCTCCTACTCAAAGGTGGAAACTCCATCTAATCGCCCTTAACCCTTCAGTCATCAGATCCCACCCTTTAACATCCCCATTCTACCTTCAACATTACAATCTCCTTCCAAATCATTTTTTTTTTAAATGTAAAGCTCATCTGAATTTGGTGTGCTTTTCAACTAAGATATTCTTATGGCTAGAAAACCCCTGGAAATTTGGAGCACTTAAAAAAAAAAAAAAGTAGGTTAAAAACATTAAAATAATGATATTGGGACGGGGAGGCAGTACCGGAAGCAGCCAGCGTCAAAGGCGTGTCCACATCCAAAGAGCGAGGAGCACGTCTGTAAATCTTCCTGCCAGGCTAAAATCCTGAGTACCAGAAACACCTCTGCCCTCACACTGACAGCCCACGGCCCAGCCGCCGGACGGGACCACTAATGCCCCCTAATGTTTCTCTCTGCGTCCCATCCCATAATGGCTCTCCTACACTGATTGCCACTAGGCTGCCCTGATGGGCTGCTTTCTTTTGAACGCAAGCAGTTTTGTCAAATTACTTTCTATTTTAGGAGGCTTAGCAGTTTCTGATGCTTCCATACGGTGTACATCAAAGTTTCAAATTTCCCCCTGGTATAGAGAATAGAAATATATAATGGAAAATGGCTCAGGTGGTATACAGCTCTATTAATGTTTCCCTCCGTTTGTGAAGCTGTAATTGCTCACCCAAGATTATATATTTATATGTACAACCATAGATATCTATATCAGTATCTCTCTCTTTATATACAAATACATATATATATATATATATATATATATATACATACACACACACATACATACATACATACATATGTATCGGGGTTTCTACTCTCCAAAAAGCTATAGTGCAGTGGTCTGTACCACAAAGATGTCCCCTTTCTTCCCCTCCCCCACCATCGCCATCCCTTCCAAGAGAAAATAACAGATCTTGGGATTAAATGAGCTTTAAATATTTACTTCTTTAAATCGCTAAGTCTGACTCATGAAGATCGAGCCCCTACAAGAATGTGTTGTGCTATGTGTCTAGGTCAGATGAAGTTCACAGTGAGGCCCAGCTGATGACCATTTGTAACCTACTTGTCACTCACCCACCTTTTGGTGAGAAAGCACAGAATCAGATTTTTTTTCAGGCATCTTGGCTAAAAACCAATATAGAGACATTCATACCCAGAATTACTTTTTGTTGTTGTTGTTGTTTGTTTGTTTTCTGAGACAGGGTTTCTCTGCATAGTTTTTGGTGCCTGTCCTAGATCTTGCTCTGTAGACCAGGCTGGCCTCAAACTCACAGAGAGCTACCTGGCTCTACCTCCCAAGTGCTGGGATTAAAGGCATGTGCCACCACTACCTGGTCATAATTACTTTCTTAATTGTTACTGTTATCGTATGCTTAGAAAGAAAACCATCTTAACAGACAGATCACAACTCTTCTCTAACCAGGCAAACTATGAAGATAAAACACCCCAGCATTGTCTACTGTGAAGACAAAAACTTCCCAGCTAATGAAAAATCTACAGACTAATGGAGAAAATCACTTCATTGAACTTGTATTTAAAAGTCTGTATCAAAATAGTGGATAAAAATGCCCCAGAGTTCTCTTTTCAACCCCAAGTGCTGTTTCCTTCCACTGTGCAGATGGACCCAGACTTATCCTGGCACTCTTGGGTGAACTCCAGTTCGACACCCTGTTCTTTCATTCTCAGGAAGGAAGAGGGGAAGGAGCTGGTGTCAACAGGGATAAATGGATTTCTTTGCTTCTGTTAACCACTACATGATCTGCCAGAATCTGGGCATTCAGGACTGTTTACTGCTTTCTCTACTGAGAATTTGAGGGTATCTTGATGAACTACTTAAACCGATAGACTCCCTAGTTTTAGCATTTGAGACCAAGATAGGGTATCTTTTGGTATTGTGAGCTGGGCATGACACTTCCACAGCACTTTGCTCCAGAAAACTAAGTGTTCTATGAGGGCATGAAGTTACCCCTCTGTACTGTGTAAAGGTGCTGCGGGCCGCAGGAATATATCATAAGAACTCAGCTGGTTATGGCAAAGTCACTACCTGGAGGGATCA